GGGCTGTAAGTAAATCAACTCTTATGACTGCTGTTTTATTACATGTCCTCCAACAGAATACTTTTCTCATGAGGACCACAGTTAGACCAATCCTTCTACCAGATACTTTGGAAATTTACCTCCTCTGTTCCTTGCTTCTGGTGACATCCATCTATCTTTTTACCCTCCAGGAAATCATAAAGAATAAGAAAGAGGATTTCTTGATGCACAATGAAGAGACATCAATCAAATACTGCCAGACTAAACTTGATCAGCTTTCAAAGACACTAATAGAAAGTATCTCAGCAGGAACTTTCTCTGTTCCTGGAGGTCATGAACTCTACAGAAAAGCAAAGGAAATTATTGAAAGGGAATATCATCAAGTGCCCAGGAAAGGAGTGAAGGTAAGGAATAAGGGAAACATGGGGAACCTACAGAATAGAGTCAAAGGGGTCTCCTGAAAATCTGAGAGCTCAGCTCCATGCATGCATAATGAGAGAGCATGGGGCTATTTGAGCAGCTTTGGCTCTTAAGGTCCACTGCATGCTATTTATTCCTGAAGAGAGTAGAAATGTCGACTCCCAACCATGAGTACAGATTTTTTAAATCCACAAGAGACAGAACAGAAATTATGCATTTTTTTAATCAACAACATGATATTTGATATGTTGAGCACTGACAATTTACAAGTCAGTCTTTGTATCCAAGGATGACTACAAGTGAGGCAGGAAGTCAACTACATAAACAATTGCATACAAAGTTATAACACTCAGGAAAGAGCTACTTAGGTGGTAGAAACAATCATAAAAATAAAAAAACAACAACAATAATAATGCAACTAATATATACTGAACTTTTGTTTCCTATAGCCAAAATGTTAAGCTCTTTCCCTAGACTAATTTAATCTTTCAAATAGCATTAAGAAGCATCTACTTTCATTATCAACATTTTAAAAATCTGAGCTGAGAAGCATAGGTAGGTTAAAATAAGTTATCTAAAGTTATAGTCAGCTAGTGGCAGAGGAGAACAGTAGCACAACTTAGAGGCAATATTTCATATTGGGAAGGCAGGTATGTAAAAGCACCAGAGATTATGGGTTTGTAGAACTGAACATTGTTCTGACTAGCTGGAATCTAGGGTGCAGAGGAAGAAGTAGCACTGGGCAAGAGACTGGAGGGAGATAGGTCACTCTAAGGAGATTGGACTTGTAAGGAACCATTATGGAATTTTAAACATGAAGTAAAATTTACATGGACATACTTGTCTTGGCAATACTAATCCCTCTATTGGAAATCTAATTTCTGTGCTCCTTCTTGGTTCCTCAGGCAAATGAGGTCCTCCAGAGCTTTCTGCAGTCACAGGTGGCAATAGAGAAATCCATCCTGCAGGCAGATAAATCCCTCACTGATGGGGAGAAGGCCATAGCAGGTACGGGGTAGGGCTGGGCTCACAGTGAGATGAGTAGGTTCTTGCAGTGCCCTCTGACAGGTGTGAGAGCAAAACCTTCCCAATACAAAGAGCTTCCTTCCTTTCTGTGGAATAACCCTGCTGCATCTGGAAACAGCAAATGGAACTGTGGTTGGGTGCCAGACAGACAGAACCTTTCCCCTCACATTCTGAAGTGTGCTGTTAATGGTGTGGACATGGGGTGCGGGTGGACTTCAGAGATTTCCTACCTCTCTCTTCAATTTGGTTTTGTCTCTGAGCTCAGGAGGGTGGAGGTCATTTCTTACCTTATTTTCTTCCCTGTCTAATACCTCCCTGGGACAGAGGAGCGGGCCAGGAAGGAGACAGCTGAGAAGGAACAGGAGCTGCTGAAACAGAAACTGCAGGAGCAGCAGCAGCAGGTGGAGGCTCAGAATAGGAGTCTCCAGGAACACATAGTCCAGCTGATGGAGAAGCTGGCGAGGGAAAGAGAAAACCTGCTGAGAGAGCAGAGCAAGATTTTGGAGCATCAGCTGAAGGTGAATCATGCTGTGGTAGTAGTAGAGCTTGATAGCCTGCGCTGGTTCCTCAGCAAGGGATGGGTGAGAGTTACAGCAAGATCATGCAGGGATCACCAGTGCATCTACTGCTTGTGATTTTTTTTAAACCCTGAAGATTTGGAATCCTTCCAAAACCTTTGAGTTCTACTCTGTAAGTAGACTTTGGAGAATTCAGGATGAGTATGGCCCCCACTCCAAACTTTCAGATAATATAAATAGGTTTTAATAGTCATTTTAGGAATTTTAAAATTATCTCATAGGGCTTGATTGAACAGATATTCCAACTACCCTGTTTAATATGTGCAACAACTAGTATGCTCTACTAAGATCACTACATTTTACCAGAAGCCCTGCTCAGCCCAAGGCCCTGAGGTAGATCTGTGCTGACATAAAACTACTAGAAATGTCCAGACTTAAAAACACAGGGAAATGATAGATTTTACACTTGCTGCATTGCCTCCAGGTTTGGACAGATCCCCAAGCTATCATGTGGCTTGGAGGGATTTCTCTCATTGTCCATCTGAACATGATTTATAAGAGATTCTTATAATTTTGTGACCATGTGTTTATAACAGATTTCTACAATATGGGTGACAGTACCATCCTGAGTAGGACTGAGAATTAGTGCAGTTAGACCAAGGCTACCTCTCACTTGCATTTTTTGACTGGAACATATTACATATGTCCTCATGTCAGGCTTAGCCTCCTGGCCAAACCTTACAGTATATGAATATTATTAAGGCTGTAAACTACACTTTCTCTTAATATCTATGTCCAAACCAGGAAATATTCCTTGTTACAAGAATCTCCTTTCATGATTAAGAGAGAACAATTTTAGGAATTAATACAAAGATAGTCTGACAAAATTTTAAAGTTTGACAAAATGAAATTCTTAAAATAATGGGGAATTTAAAAAGTTTTACTTCCTTCCTCACTTTTTTTTAAGGTCCAAGAAGATCTGCATACTGAAGGATTTAAAAAGAAATGTGAGGAGATGAATGCAGAGATAAATCGTTTGAGAAAGAGGATTGTTGATACTAAAAATGATGATAGTACCTTGCTTGCACAAGCCTTGGACAACCTTGGCAAAAGAATCGCTTCATTATTGCCTGCCCCAGCTAACATTCTTAGTAACGTTGTGAAAGGAGTGGGCTCACTATTTAAAAAGAAGTAGCTCTCCTTGTAAAGGAATCAGATATATAATATATTATACATGTATATGCTCTGGCCTATTTCTGATGTGCATGCTTTTCACATTCATTCAGCAATGCTTTAAATATAAAAAGTGGCTTCTAGAGAATATTGATATCTGGCCCACATTAGATAGAATAAATTCATGGACACTTTGATATAGTGTGTTTACTTTTAGGAAATATATATGTGTGCAAAATCATATATATGCATATGTACATACATACAAGACGTTCACTGTGGCTTTGCTTCTATTGGCAAAAGATTGCAAACCACTTAATGCTCATTTATGTAATTTGGTAATATTTATTTTGCATGCACATAGACTAGAATACTAAATGGCTAATAAATAGATAGTGGAGCTCTATTTGTATAAGTATAGAACAATCTGGAAGATATGTTGTAGAGTGAAAAAATAAGGCACAGAAGAGTATAAAGTGTTCACCATAAAAAAAGGCAATTATTATGGGCACTCATACATATGTATATATGGAACATTTCTGGAAGATTCATTAGAAATTGGTATCATTGCTTCTTCCTGGAGAGAATAGCTTGGCATCAGGGATGGAAAGGACACATGATTTTCATTATATACTCTATCTTTTCAATTTTGCAAAGGTAGCTTGTGTTATCATTTCTCAAATAACAAAGAAAGCAAAATACAATACTAATATTTAAAATAGTAAATGGAATGTGAATAAATGGAATTGCTCATTGCTTCTAGAAATTATATTAACCTCTTCAATAAGGGGTCTAAGACTAAGATCAAAATACTAGAAAATAAAATTTGCATCCTAATCTTGTTTTCACTTTGGCCTTGGTTTTTAATCCCTTACATTTGCCTCAAAAATAAGGTATGAAATTTCCTGTTACCCCTTGAAATCTCAGCAAGAGTAAGCTTTACTTCATAGGTTTGAATTACACTTTTAATGTGTTTAAAAACAAATTGCTAATTATTAAGAATATTCACTGTTGAAAGGAATTCCCATCATCCCTAAGTTCAGTGGTGGTGTCTCTGCTGTAGACAAGTACAGAAGGGGTGATCCACTACTGCAGAAACGGATACCTTGACAGTACTGGGGAATGATAAAGCCAGACACACAGAGGCCAAGTGTTGGCATTTAAACATCAGAATCCAAGTACGTACAATGGGAGTAATGAGCATTGTGATTTGTCTTAGCTCAGGCTGCTATATCAAATTACCATAGACTGTGTGGCTTACAAAACAAACATTTATTTCTCCCAGTTATGGAGGCTGTAAGTTCAAAATCAGTGTGCCAGCATTGTTATTTTCTTGGTAAGGGTCCTCTTCCAGCTTTACAGATAACAAGTTTCTTACTATGTCCTCACATGATGAAGAGAGAGAGAGAGATAGAGAGAGAATGGATCTTATGATTCTGAGTTATATGGACACTAATTAGATTCATGAAGACCCCACACTCATTATCTAATCCCCCCAATCCCCACTTCCAAACACATTGAGACATTGGGAGTTTGGGTTTCCTCAAATGGACTTTGGAGAACACATTCATTCAGTCTATAATACGGTTGGAGTGACAGCCAGCAGACCTGACCAGAGAAAATTCTGAAGATGGCAAATAAAACAAGGTGTCTGTAGAGAAAAAAGGAATGGGGAGGAAAAAATTAAATAGAATCAAGAACATTTATAGGAGGCTGGGAGGTAGCATAGATAAAAGGTTATAATCACTAGCCTTGATCTGAACCAATTTCAGATGATGGATCTATCACCTGGAGGGGAGGGCAGGATCCCAAGAGAAAGGACATTTCAACTCTGGGATGAGGATAAATGATAATGATTTTCACAGTCCCTCTCCAAGAGGAGTACTGGAAATGTACTTGGATCTGTGTGCTGGGAAATGAGAATGCCCAAACATTTCAAGGACTCTCAGAATCAGAATCCAAGCTAGCAGTTATGTTCAGATCCTGAAAAGATGTCACAGTTTCCCTGTTAGAGATGCACATGGCATCATGATAATAAAGGCTGTCTTGGCCCAGGTGCAACTAACTTGGTCTAGTATTTGTTTTCAAATAAAAGTAAAGTTCATCTGAAGACAGACACCATTATATGTATTTTTTTCTGTACATCTTCATAGTTTATGTTTTGGCACAGAGGGTACTTAGTAGAAACTTCTGGAAAAAACAAAAAGCTGACACATGCGTGATTGTTTTCAATTGCCAGAAATCCATGAACACTCCAAAGTTCTGAGGTAACATATTGTTTGGATTTTAAATATTAGATTAAAGTCTCTAAGTTGACTTAAGTGCCAGAGGAGCAGAAGAAACTCTTTCATTACAGTCTCCCCCTCTGTGACCTATGCACACAGTCTCTGTATCTCTGTGAGGATGTGAACTCATCTGCACTGGAGACTTTAAATGATTCCATCTAGCCATGGCTTCAGGTGTTCAGAAGGAGGAATGAATGGCTTTGCCTTTAAAAGAAGAAACCATATAGTAATGAATATGTGACAAATATATCGTGGGGTTTAATGGAAAAGCAAACTATTCTACAGAAGTATCTGTATATTTGTCCCCACTGAGAGCTTGACTTAAGCAGATGTCCTAATCCCCTGGACTAGACACATCCTGAATTGAAGAGCAAAGAGAAGCCTTGCCTTTTTTAGATTCGACATGTAAGTGATATCACACTGTACTTATGTTTCTCTGACCTATCTCACTAAGCATAATGTGCTCAAGGACCATTGATGTTGCATATGGCAGGATATCCTCATTCCTTGTGACTGAATAATATTCCCTTGTGTATATGTATATGCACCACACCTTTTGTATCCATTCATGTGTTGATGGGCATTTAGGATGTTTTCATTTCTTGGCTATTGTGGCTAATGCTGCAATAAACATCAGTGTAGACATCTCTTTGAAATACTGTTTCTATTTCCTTTCAATACAAAAATAATAAAACTGACTTATAATGATCACTTGGAAAAATAAAAAGGCTTTAAAAAGCAGTTAACACTTTATTCACATATCTATTCTAATCCTCATTAAGGAATGCTTAGTTCTAATTATTTACACTGTTTGCTAAATTCTTATGTCCTCCCTGCCTTTGTTCTGGATTATGTAAAGAGAGAAAAATAAAGATCTTATCCTCATGAAGCTTACACCCTGTCTGGGCCTTACATAATGTTATTTAGGCAGAAATAAATATTGTAATTATATATGTGTGTATATATGTATATGTGTATATATGTGTGTGTATATATGTGTGTATGTATGTATGTGTGTGTGTGTGTGTGTGTGTGTGTGTGTGTGTGTGTGTGTATATCTTATGTGTAGTGACCAAGAATCTAAGTAGCAACCAAATAATCATTTTTTAAGTTTGGCTTCAAACTAGTGCATCTAGCCTGGGGATATATTTGTGTATTATAGAGCCCTAAGGAACAAATATGATAACATTAAAATAAGGTAACACCCAGGGTGCATGGTGATTGAAACAATGAATAAATAGATTAATGGTTGGATGAATGAATAAGGGTGATATTTGTTTATCTTTTCAAAGGGTAATAAATATCCCTCTTATTACCAATAGGCAAAAATCTCAAGGCTTTGATGTAGAATTTTGTGTTCTTTGATCTCTATTCCTCTATCACCTGTACAAATTTATTATATTTAAATAAACTAAAGTGGATTCTGTTTCTATGACTGTACTAGGAATGATATGTCAACTCTAGAATGTTCTTCCTTGTGTCTATTTTTCCATGGAATTGTGGTTGTGCTACTCAACAGTGTTATTTGGATGGAATTTCTTTTACTTCAGATAATGTGATCTTTTTCTCTGAGCACTGTTTTTGTGGACAAGTGGCCCACTGTTTTATGGACAGTGGTCCCAGGCTGTATTGAATATGGTGCCAACTCTTTGCCCAGGAAACAGTCCCTGATCAAACATGAGTAATGAATTCCTCCCCTGATATATTTGGTCTAAGGCACCAATCTCTCTCTGTCCCTGCTGACTGTCCACTAATATAGAAAATGCAGACAATCAAGTTGTATTTCCCTTCCACTTAAAGTATCTATTTTATTTTGATGAAATATGCAAAAATATTTATTATTTTATCTATTTAAAGTGTACAAATTGTGGAATTAAATAAATTCACATAGATGTTACAATCACTATTACTATCTACCTCCAACCCTTTGCATCATGCTCAACTGAAACTCTATATCCAATGAACAAGTACCCATTTCCCTCTCCCCATGCTCCTGGTAATCTTGAGTAAACTATCTGTTTCTATAAATTTAACTACCTTGGATAAGTCATAAAAATAGTATCATCTAGTATTTTTCTTTTTGTGACTGGCTTAT